ATGTTTATAAACAATGTTACTTTGTATCTCTCTATCTCCTCTCTGATCAATGTTTATAAACAATGTTACTTTGTATCTCTCTATCTCCTCTCTGATCAATGTTTATAAACAATGTTACTTTGTATCTCTCTATCTCCTCTCTGATCAATGTTTATAAACAATGTTACTTTGTATCTCTCTATCTCCTCTCTGATCAATGTTTATAAACAATGTTACTTTGTATCTCTCTATCTCCTCTCTGATCAATGTTTATAAACAATGTTACTTTGTATCTCTCTATCTCCTCTCTGATCAATGTTTATAAACAATGTTACTTTGTATCTCTCTATCTCCTCTCTGATCAATGTTTATAAACAATGTTACTTTGTATCTCTCTATCTCCTCTCTGATCAATGTTTATAAACAATGTTACTTTGTATCTCTCTATCTCCTCTCTGATCAATGTTTATAAACAATGTTACTTTGTATCTCTCTATCTCCTCTCTGATCAATGTTTATAAACAATGTTACTTTGTATCTCTCTATCTCCTCTCTGATCAATGTTTATAAACAATGTTACTTTGTATCTCTCTATCTCCTCTCTGATCAATGTTTATAAACAATGTTACTTTGTATCTCTCTATCTCCTCTCTGATCAATGTTTATAAACAATGTTACTTTGTATCTCTCTATCTCCTCTCTGATCAATGTTTATAAACAATGTTACTTTGTATCTCTCTATCTCCTCTCTGATCAATGTTTATAAACAATGTTACTTTGTATCTCTCTATCTCCTCTCTGATCAATGTTTATAAACAATGTTACTTTGTATCTCTCTATCTCCTCTCTGATCAATGTTTATAAACAATGTTACTTTGTATCTCTCTATCTCCTCTCTGATCAATGTTTATAAACAATGTTACTTTGTATCTCTCTATCTCCTCTCTGATCAATGTTTATAAACAATGTTACTTTGTATCTCTCTATCTCCTCTCTGATCAATGTTTATAAACAATGTTACTTTGTATCTCTCTATCTCCTCTCTGATCAATGTTTATAAACAATGTTACTTTGTATCTCTCTATCTCCTCTCTGATCAATGTTTATAAACAATGTTACTTTGTATCTCTCTATCTCCTCTCTGATCAATGTTTATAAACAATGTTACTTTGTATCTCTCTATCTCCTCTCTGATCAATGTTTATAAACAATGTTACTTTGTATCTCTCTATCTCCTCTCTGATCAATGTTTATAAACAATGTTACTTTGTATCTCTCTATCTCCTCTCTGATCAATGTTTATAAACAATGTTACTTTGTATCTCTCTATCTCCTCTCTGATCAATGTTTATAAACAATGTTACTTTGTATCTCTCTATCTCCTCTCTGATCAATGTTTATAAACAATGTTACTTTGTATCTCTCTATCTCCTCTCTGATCAATGTTTATAAACAATGTTACTTTGTATCTCTCTATCTCCTCTCTGATCAATGTTTATAAACAATGTTACTTTGTATCTCTCTATCTCCTCTCTGATCAATGTTTATAAACAATGTTACTTTGTATCTCTCTATCTCCTCTCTGATCAATGTTTATAAACAATGTTACTTTGTATCTCTCTATCTCCCTCTGATCAATGTTCATAAACACGCTGTCAGACAAAAGAGCCAGCAAGTGTGAAGGGGGAACGACAGAAGGGCAGGATACACTTCTCACACCCTGTGTACTTCAACAAAGTTTCCAAATGGTTAAATATTATCAGATTTAAAATCCCTCCCATATCTTGGAATGTACTGGGCTGTTATACTTTTTGTAAACGATGTAATTCAGGTTGAAATGACCAAATACATGATTCGGGTGATGACGGGTGATACATTTTAATTGCTCTAAAGACAAAGTTCATCTCTGTTTAATGACAGGAGCTCAAATATTTATGAGCGGACCGCAGCCCCTGGTTTCTGGCTAAACCCGCTCTATTCCAATAAATGAAGTACAGTGGTATGTAGGTATTTATATGGGGTGCC